AGATGATTATAGAAAGGAAGGCAAAGGAAAAGGAAAAGAAACAAAAAGACTACAAGGCATTTCCACTGGTAGACGTGCAGTTTGTTGCAGTGTTTGTGCAAGATGTTATAAAATTGATCGGCCACCTACAAAATTGTCCAACAGATTATATGACTTTAAGTACCCCATACAACTAAAATGATATACAAAAGAGAAAGTGGTTAGCATTCCCTCACCCATAAATATGAAATTCAAAACTTAAAATTACACCACAAATGTATAACCCCTTTTAGGCATCAAAGTGATAAGGAAAAAATTGACAAGATGAGGGCAAAGAGCTTTCGCATCCCTAACATGTATTGCAGCCCGTACCCTTGAAAAAAACACAACTTATCATTTTCACAATGGCATAAAAGACTTGGACCATGTATAAAGAATCTGGATGGAAAGGACATTACTCTGCACAAGGAGTAACCATGATCTCGAACAAGGTAATTTGGAGATGAAATTTCAATAGTTCCAAGTGGGGCTTATCTGAATGACAAACAACTACAAGCATATCCCCTAGTTTATGAAAATTTGTGATGACCACTGAGACAAGAACTCATTCCTAAAACATAATATAATCATCGACCCCAGTATTCAATGTCAGCTGAGAAAAACTTATCCAGGAACTGTTAAATAAATTATCCCACCATTTTACAAGTACAATTGTGATATTGCTCCTAAATAATTACCCTAATAAACTATAAGCAATTACCTCCAATTTGCATAGGAAAAAAAAAAGAAAGAGAAGATAGGTAAATCAAATGTACTGGAAACCGGAATGCAGAGATTACCATGTCCACATAGATAATCGCAACCTTTTGAGACACAAAAAGGAAGCACTTCTATTGGAACTTGTGCATTTGAATCCATTAGACAAGCGGGGAAAACACTTTCGATACCAATTTCTCCAAGTACCAATGAAGTGCAACCAAGAGTACTATAAAAACCAAATCCGGTTGAGGATGTTCTAGAACCTATGAAGCATGGACACTCTTGAGAATGTGATGTATCCGTGTCGAACACCGACACTCTTCGGACACGTGTCTGATGCTCTTTTATCCGTGTCCCTAATTAAATGATAAATTTTTAATTTTAGACGTGTCGGACACTTTTTTGGTGATGTGTCCGACACTTCTTTAGAACGTGTCTACTACCAAACAATAGACATTTGTTAAAATGTGATTAACAAAGTTTAAAAATTTGAGAACATATAATTACTAATACTAGACATATTAAAGTTGTACTCCAAATATAATAACAAAACAAAAGATGCATAAAAGTTTTAAAAAAGAGGAATTGAAAAAATGAGAACAATTATTTAAATTATATATTAGGTACACATTGTCTACAAAAAAAATTGATGATTATTGACTATAATGACGATGTTTTAGTCTAAAAATTCACACAGATGACTAGACATTAAGTTTTCTTATCATTATCACTATATTTGCAATAAATTATATAATGTTATATATAAAATATAATTTTTTTGTAGCGTGTCTCCAACGTGTCCGTGTCCTACTTTTTTTAGAAATGTTGTATAGGCGTCTCCATGTCTTGTCATATCCATGTCCCATGTCCGTGTCCATGCTTCTTAGTCTAGAACAAGGCCGCACTTCAATATTGTTTAATATTATATAACAATAGAGAACAAGAAGCACATTATTAAGTTATAAGCATGCAACGTAATACATCCATGTCAAGATTTTCTAGAGAAAAAGAAAAAGCCATTGATTCAACTAAAATTGAAGCCTTGTGGAATTACTATGACGAAGGAAGTACACAAAATATAGACAAAATAGTCCAATGAATGCAAGTCAACAAACTATATCCATGTAAACTTTTCCATTATGGAAATAATTCAAAGCCAAATAAAATTACCCAGAACTATCACTTAGGCAAGAACTAATTAGCACTTACGATATCCTTCTAAACTAGTTTCAGTCTTACACATGTCAAAGCAAGACCAACGTGTCACATTCAAACTTGCTGTTGATATTCCGTGTAGGTTTATGGCCTTAACTACTCTTAATTTTTGATTTTTTTGATGTACAAGTGAGGCTTTTCATCAAGGTTCACAATGAGTTTGGGATGGAATGGACACATTGAGAGAGATTGGATAGTTAAAGGCCTAAATTGATATAAAAAAATTTAGGGGCTCAATAGACAGAACTAGAATAATTAGAGATCATATAGATAGTTCTCTTACTTGCATGTGTCAGCATAACATGATAGTCATTTTGGTGGTCGCTTGTGCCTCTAAGGGAGTTAATTTGGTTTATAATTAAGAAAAAGGACCAACATGTAGCCACTTTCGTGACATTGTTGGATATTGGGGTGGTTATGAATAGTCTTATTCTTCATCGTAGTGTTGCTGCTGCTGCTGTTTTTTTTTTTCCTTCTTCGTAGTCATTTTCTTATGCTTCATAGAGTTCTTATTCTCTATAGTCGTCTTCTTTTTCTTCAACCTTTTTTGTAATTTTTTTCTTCTCAATCATTTGTTGTCATAGTCGTCTTCTTCGTAGTCGTCGTCTTCTTATTTTTCTTGTTCGTAATCATCTTCTTCTCTACTCCATTTTTTTTTTGTATGCTTCTACTTCTTAGTCTTCTTCTTTGTCATCGTCTTCTTCGTAGTTTTTTTATTCTTCATAGTGTTGTTGCTGCAGTTTTTTTTTCTTCTTTGTAGTCATTTTTTAATTCTTCATAGTCGTCTTCTTTTTCTTCAACCTTTTTTGTAGTTTTTTTCTTCTCCATCATTCATTGTCATAGATGTCTACTTCGTAGTCGTCGTCTGCTTATTTTTCTTGTTCGTAATCATCTTCTTCTCTGTCATTATTGTTTTCATAGTCGTCTTCTTATTCGTAGTCTTCTTGTTCGTAATCATCTTCTTCTCTGTCATTATTGTTTTCATAGTCGTCTTCTTATTCGTAGTCTTCATGTTCTTATTCGTAGTCTTCATATTCTTCTTTGTAATTTTCTTCGTAGTAGTAGTAGTAGTATTCCCTCTTCTTCATGGTATTACTCTTATTTTCCATAGTCGCCTTCTTGTTCTCGTTCTTCTTCACCATCTTCCTCTTCGTAGTCTTCGTCACCGTAGTCTTCATCGTCGAAGTCTTCTTATCTATTTTTTTTATCATAATCGTCTTCTTCGTACTCATGCTCTTCTTATTTTTCTTCTTCGTAGTATTTTTTTTTTTTTTGTAGTCATCTTCATCTTCATAGTCTTCTTCGCGGTCAGCTTTTCTTCTTCTTCTTCGCAGTGTTGTTGTTCATCTTCTTCTTGTTCTTTTTAGCAATCTTCTTCTTATTAGTAGTCTTCTTACTCTTTTTCTTCTTCTTCATAGTGTTCACTTTCTTGATCTTGTTCTTCTTTTTCGTAGTCAGCTTATGGCTCTTTTTCTTGTTTGTAGTCATCTACTTCGTAGTCTTCTCATTCATATTCTTAAACTTCTTTGTAGCCTTCATTGTTGTAATCTTTTTTCTCGTAGTCATCTTTTTATTTTTCTTCTTCATAGTCTTCGTGTTCTCCATCTACTTTCTTTGTTTCTAAACTTTGTTAACCACAATGAACACTTAACTAATGCAGCCTTAAAATTTTCTTTTAAGGGAAATCAATTCAAAAACTTAGTATATTCTTGTAATTCAAAAAAAAAAAAAAAAAATCAAAACAAAGAAGTTTCAAAGTCAAAACAAATTTTGGACTGAAGTTCAAAGTAAAATCTCAAATAAAGCCTGTCTATAAATGTTGTTGATTAAATAACTAGGCATGTTACAGGTGTGCCATTTGTTTTACTTCAAAAAGATGCATCGAACAGTAAGCAGGGGAAGCAATATATACAGTCAAAACATGCAAAAACCTTCCATGTGATGAAGTGACCAATACATCCTTTACATTTCTCAGGAGGCAATAGAGAACAAATAAAAAATAAAAAGACAATGGCAAGAATGCATCCCAACTACCATGAACCCTAATCAGCATTTTAGAGATTAAAAGCACAATGGTTAGCGTGGCAGTGCTGCAACGTCTACATTCAATTTCGAGCAGCACAACCCGGCACAATTGGATTAGAAATTCTTCAATTTCTCTAAAAAAATCACCAGCAAAAAAAATATCACAATACCTCTATTAGCACTCTCTTTGTCAAGGTTATCTATTTGACAATGTTCTTTGGTGTTTGCTGAGTCAGAGGCAAGCCAAGAATGGATAGAGTTTCTTTCGTGCCCTTGAATCCAAAGTCAATACACAGTGCTGACTTTTAGAGATTATCAAAGACAACTAGATTGTAATTATGGAACATAAAAGAACTTGTCTAGCAATGGGTTGCAAACACCAATACACCAATATACAACAGCAGTTGACCTACACGTAACTGTAATTCAGAATCATATAACACAAACCTTGCTTGGCCGTACCTGTGCTTGCAAGTTTTGAAACCTGTAAGCCCATTCCCACGATGTCCTTGGCATCTGCATAAAAATACTCACAGGTTCAAAATTGATATAGCACACAACAAACAAAAAACGTAGCCCCTGGCCCCCAACACCAAAGCCAAATTGATTGGACTTCTCAAAAAAATTCTTACAATGATCTTACACCAAAGCTGTATCAGCTTGACATAGCTAAAATCCCACTTAATAGCACCCACTGTCAGCCTAGTAAAATAGATTAAAAAAAACCACTGCCTGACAGTTACAATCTCTTAAGCAACCATGAAAAAAGTATCAACTACTGGATGAGTACCAACCCTTGAATTTAGACAAAGCTTTGTTTATTAAATTCAGAGTCAAGGAAAATCTTATCAGAGGTCAAAGGATATAATTGTCATTAAACCTAGATCACAATGATCTACATCTATCTCACCATAGCACTTGTTGGATCATTGGCATCACTTCTTTTCTCAACACGTCTACTGGCATTCTTTCACAACATTTTAAGTCCTCTGGTCCTAGTAGCCCCCTTCACAGAAATTAAATCACTCTATCTTTACTTCTTCATTTATTGGTCTCACAATGTGCATGATCAATCGATCATAGGTGAACTCCACTTCTATAATCCTAAATTGGTGCCCCTTCAAGGTTTGAACAAAAAGCACATTAGTTTTCTAATCTTCACATTTTCTAATCCACACAATCACACAAAAAAAAAAAGAAGAAGAAGAATTAGAAAGAAGTTGTCCTCATTACCTAGAAAGAAGAGGAATAACAATTAGTAAGAGTAACCGACCAATGTGGTTAAAAATGAAATATAATGATCAAAACATCTTGAATGTACCATTTTACCAATGTGGTTAAAAATGAAATTCAAAGATCGAAACTTCTAAAAATGAACCCAATGAAAAATATAAGGCTGTAATATATATCTATATCTATGAAATTTCTATGATGTGACTCTCACTTTTTGGCAGACTAACTCCCTTAAAATATAAGCTAATATTTTACTAGAGAGCTTCCTCATCTACTTCAGCTTGCTTTTCACTTTCCCCTGGGTTAGAAATATACATGTCATATCACTAAAACAGATCATGCACGTAATGAGATATCAACAGTCTTACTTTTTCAACGTGAATCTAAACTAAGATAAGAAGATACCCAGGAACATAATTGAACATCAATGACCCAGCTTAAAGTACCATACTGACGTAGAATAAGAAAGGGCAAAAAAGGTAGTGCAGAAAATGAACCACACCTCTTTGAGTAATGATGAAACCTGACAAAGCTCATCTTCCTGCATGCCTATTGTCCTCAAGGCAGTCAAGAAATCCTCAGGAAATACTCGACGGTCTGTGCACTTATTGTTGCTTTTGGTTTGTGGTGTGCTGCGTCTGCATGCTGGAAAAAAAACCATGATCTAGCAAACTTCTTGGTAAAAGACACCTCAACTCAGCTTTCTGTAAACACCACCACGCAAGTACATCAACAAAGCAAATGCACATACATTTAAAGAAAAAATATAGACCCATGCATGCATACCTAAGTAAAAGACATATACCTAAACAGGTATATATTAAGTCATATGCATGCAATAAAACTTGCATTACTCCACTGGAGCCATTAACTACGCTTTTGGAAGAGTTAATTTTGATAAATAAAAAAAATTACATGAAAATGCATGATAAGAACACATAAATGGCTGACCTGTGCTTCAAGAATCTGAAATTTGGAGTCAGAAAAAGGAATACTCTGGATAGCCTCTATTGGGTAATGAAGCTGTGGAATTTGTTGAAGTCTGAAAATGTTACAAATCCCAGGTTGTTACAAGTGGATACTAAGTTTTCCAGTAATAAATTATCATGAGATAGTCATCTGGGTTGTTCATGACAAATCCATATAGGTACAGCAGTTCCTGCACCCAATGACAGCAAATGAACGAGAAAAAGAACCAACTCACAGTTCAGCAACACCAACTCCCCTATCCATAAAAAAAGACAAAGAAAAAGAACGGACTCGAAAGGAATTGGCTACAACCAATAACCATATACAATGATGACAGTTAAGAGTTACTAGTACCATGTCCATGAGATCATATATCATATTGAGCAGTACCGAAGACATAGAAACGATAAAAATTAACTAATCCAAAGTTTCATCCAAGAGCTACAAACCAGGCTATTACCGGTGCAGAAGCACAGCATGCTCATCGTCAGATGTATAAAGTTCATATTGCTTAGCAAAAGCATTCGTCGAAGAAATCACCCAATCAGCATCTTAATTCACATCCGAAGATTCTGCAAGAAACTGTCCTCCAAAAACAGAGACATAACAGCGACAGTATTTCCAGGAGGTAGTACTTCCTTTCATTTCATAGAACTCATCGAGATGAACCTATTTTCTTCTGTTGTAGCATGTAAAGTGATAATTCCTATGCACTCATGTGGTTTGCAAAAGATATATATGATTACTAAATTCTGTCAATCACAGTCTATAATCTCAGCGATTCAATCAGAACATTTCGATTACATGCTCAGATGCAGGGAAGACATGAAAAAATTTGGTTCCATGTTTTTTATAACCTCACCTGTCCTATGTAAACCATGGAGTCTGGGGCAAGTTAAGCATTTTGCACAATGTATTCAAATAATAATAACCAGGACAAAATTGCACATTCAATTAAAACCCACGTCAGTCAAGTCAATAAAAATTTACATTGCATGTCTCTTGATTATTTAGGGTCTTGCTTTAGGTCTTCCGTGTCACTTACATAGGCTTTCATTTTTAAAATCTAGAGCTTACAAAACAAGAAAATCAGTTAGCAACTACAGCAAAGATAATTCTCTAACAGTAAAAAGTCCAATTAATGATGAACATCGAAATAAAACATCATTTTCACATTGGTAGTTCACATGAGACACAATGAGAGAAACAACTTCACTGAACTTCACAAATGACCCTCTATATTCGTACATATGTACAATTATTGAGGAATAATATAAACAGCTGCACAAGGGTTGTTTAGACTTGCAAATTACAGCACATATAGCAAGTGCACTATTAAACACTTTTCAAACTGCTAAGAACTTCGAGAATTCAACCAAACGAAGAAAAAAAAAGCTCTAACTCATCTTTGCAAATAACACTCTAATTTGATATATTTAAACATTTTGGCTGAAATAAATTAAACAGCAGCTGGATTGCTCAACACCGTCGATATGCGTGTATAAGTGTTTGAATGTGAAAGAAGACGGGAAGAGGGAGGAGGGAAGGAGTACTAAAAATTCACACAAGTTATTGAGGTGGAAAGGGGGTAGGTAAAATTATCAAAAAGTCCTACTTCCCCCCTGGAAAAAACATTAAGCCCCTTTTTTGTTTCTGTTACATATGAACTTTCACGAATTTTCTAATCCTATGATAATTCCACTTTTTCCCTTGAGAATGTAAATTACATAAGTACCATTAAAGTCCTAATTTCTTCATACTCACAGATTTGTTTTAATTTCACGGTATACATTTGAGACTCAAATCGGTTCTTTCATTACTAGTAACATTAAAGCACAAACATGTTTTGATATCCACCAGAAGTTCGTTAGAAAGCAGAACAAGTTGAATTATAGCCAATTGCACTATTATGCATGTCACCAAAATAAAAGGCCGCACTTTTTCCAAAAAAATGTAATTTATATAATTTGTCAAGCTCTCTATAAAATAACACCCATTTAGTGGTAGTCCTACCATCTGCTTCTTTACTTTCACATTAAATTGAAGTTGACTACGAAATCATGAGTGAAAGTGTCATTAGTGTTTCCATTAAAAGGGCAAAGCTGTAATAAGTACATGTGAATGGAGTCTAGAATATCTTGGAATAAACTATAGAAAGCAGGACTAGTTGTCTTAACAGAAGTTTGATGGGACTTAATAGTTCTTCAAAGGGAAAAGTAGGATCTAATGGTAACTTCCCAAGAAAACAGCGACAAATATGCCCTTCCGGTAGTTCTAAGGCATGGTATTACATGGAGTTCATTTTTTTTTCCAGATAGTTTGGGAGCTCAGCCACTGTCACTTCATTGTAAGGGACATCACACACTCCTACACCATTAGTTTCCCAAACATTTTCACTCAACTCCAAATAAATTTGTAAGCATTAGCAAAACTAACACTTCACAGGACCCAAAAAAGCACACTACAAAATTACCTCACCTTGCCAAAACAAGCTGATATTCTTTGTACAGAGCGGTGCCAAATAACACAGAACCTGCAAGTGCAAAAGAGAACAGGTGAAAAAGATTTACTTCACAATCTGGTAGATCACTCAGTTATAGATAGAGTAGATGAAATCACGAATAGCCATAAATTTGTTTATTTGAGCATCATTCGTCAATTCTTAAATAAGAATGGAGTAGGATCTACTGTGCTAGAACATGACTGGTTAAGATTACAAATCATTCAACTATTAAATTCTATCAAATCTTTGGTAATTTTTAACAATACTTTTCTATTAGTATTAGAACTCCACCATTTCTGCAACGTAGCATAGAAAACCTAACTGATTCATCTAATAGGACATATACAGTTTCACTTCTATACATATATTATATACATGAATACATATTATTGATTGATAACCATATTTTTGTGCCAATGACAATAAAACATGGAAGATAAAGCTAAACAAATATCATAAGCATAAACTTGAATTACATATCAACCTCTAGTAGTGCATGCTAATGATATAACTTGTGACTATTATACTTTCATTTACCACATCAAATATCCTTGTGTCCTTGCCTTCAAATGGCTGCACTTGTGCTGTCAAATTTGCACTCATCTGATTTGATGATTGAAAATTGGACAGAATGGGATGAGTCCTAAAATTGAATTACACTAGAACTGAATAGGAATGGCCATCATCATTCTTTCATATGGATTGTATGCAGGAATAAGACTGGAGGTATTACCATCCCATTCCAACATTTGGTTGATTGCGCTGCGTGAAGGACAGAATAAGGGAAGTTGTGGGAGTTGAGTGATGATTGGGGGCGGGAGGTGACAGGAAGTGTTGATGGGTGGCTACTGGCTGTGATGTTTGGTAGTGCCGATGGGAGGTCGCGTGTGGAAAAATGATGAAAAAATGTAAGAAAATGTGGGGCTAAGGTGATAGTTTGGTGGTTATAGAGATGAGCGGCTGGGTGGTGGATATGAGTGGTTTAGGTGGTGATGGTAATGAATGTAGTGGACGGTAGATGTGATAGATAAGTGGTGGGTGGTGGTGATGGACATTAGAAAAGGAATGTTTGCTTTAGAGAGAGAAGGGGAGGAAGGAAATAGGATGGAGATGACAGGTGAGAGGGTCGACTGCTGGCAAGGGTGATGTCTCTGTGATTACACCTTCCTGAATTTAAGCATAAATATAGTGAGACTGATACAATATTTTTAACCTTTGCTTTGACATTTCAAGGTAATCTATGAAAACTCCAGAACGAGGTAAAGATCAGAAACCCTTCCTGTCAAAATCTAAGTTGCCAATAGCTCCCTAGCTAGAGGATTGTGCAGAAGCACTAACAGGCGGACAAAATGTTCCCGACTATGTGAGCACCATATAGATATATTTGTCATTTACTTGTTTAAATAAGCGTGTCTGGGCGTGAACATTAATAATACCCAAGTGTATGCCAATCACTAATTTTAATGGAAGATGTGGAATATCAGTCCGAACTTTACATTCATAAAGCATCATGTTTCTGTGAGGAGATCTACGTCTGTATAATTCTGATGCATTTGCAAACCTGTAAAATTGGCTAACTCATAGTCAAATATCAAAATTATTGCAACATATGACTCATTACCTCCACTAAAATGAAACGGCTGCAATATTCCAACATTCAAGAAACTCCAAATCACATAAAAACCAAACAAAATATTTATGCAGGCCTGCAAAAGTTCCAGAGTAAGTTAGAAGGACATCTCAAAAGTTGCAAAATAAACTACTGCTTTGTATGGGAATTCAAATGATGTCGAAGAATTCTAACCGTGGCAACTGCAACAGTGTAATCCCATGGTGATCATCTTCAGCAAAAAAGTGCCAGCGAATATGCTGCCAATACCACAAACAGGATTTTGGTCATGATAAGGTATGCCCATCATAAGTACGGAAATAACTAGGCAAGCAAACTAAAAATATTCGGTAAAAGATAAAAATCACAATTAACGAAAACAGGATCAACACTCTATTATACCTCCATTTCAGGAATGGTGATAGTATCAAAAGAAGACCTCTTCTTTCACATACTGCAGATGACTCTGTCAGACAAACTCCCATGGCATATTTGACAAACACCGGGCTTGTTTAGCAAGACCCTGAAACCCAACAAGAAAGTACCTTTGAGACACAAAGAAATAAATGTAAAAAAGCAATAGTCAAGCACAAGTAAACATTGATGTCTTTCATTAGGTAAATTAGCATGTGAGATAAATCAATGACGAAGAATAACTGGAATAAGGCAGGACACAAAAGACATATACACTAAAACTCAAACCCAATATTTTGGTCGTTTAGCTAGCAGTTTTGTGCTGAGCATCTGCACTCTAGGAAGAAAAAGTTACATTAGTCAATAACATCATATATAATCCAACAGAACAAAGTGAAAATGAGACCAAAAAAAATTACATAGCTAAGCATTACAAAACCTTCACCCGTAGATGATCTCCAATTTTGGCAGCAGTTTGTCCAATGCTAGAAAAGACAACATTCTTGCAAAAGCTCGTAAACAAGCCATCTCCACCATTTTCCAGCTGAAAATTGAGACGGACATGAATCGTGGCTAATAGTACATCGACCATGTATCAAATTTAGAATCGTTAGAAAGATCCACAATATTTTCAGATAAATGTACATACCGACATGATTATCGGCATAAAGTATAAAACTTCACCAAACACAAGGTAGAATCAGTGGGATGAAACTACTCAAAGAGAGTTTTAAATTATTAAAATTGTGGAACCCTGTCAAAATATCAGGCTGTTTAAAAGAAATTGGCTCTTGTGTACAAGCTACAAATTATTTTCGATATATATAGGAAATGATATGACTAGAGGAAGAAGATATATGTGTATGGATATATACATATATAAGTATTGTGTATACGTACGGATGTATGTATTGAGAAGCAACAGGTAGCACTCCTTACCAACCACAAGTAGTGTCTTGCGGTGCTTAGTCTTCAATGGCTACCTCTTTATTGAGATTGGTAAGCTTTCCATCAATTTTTGACCAAACATAACAAAGTCATTAAACGAAATGGCCCAACAAATGATCTAAATGGACCCGCATGTAAACATATACCTGCTCTGAAATATCAACCAACTGCATACAAGAATTCTTAAACAAAGTCATTAGTGTATCAACTTCTAAAACTAAAAGGCTTGATAAAGCGGACTTCCATGCATTTGACAAAATTCACAAATAGTTGTAACGGATTTGGTCATAAAAGGCACACTCTGAAACACAAAAGGCACACACATAGACACTTAGATAATATAAAAATATGCACACACACACTATACACACAAAGAAACATTAAAACACATTGTAAAAAGAAAAAATACACACTATAATAAAAACAACCCCACCCACACACATTACACCTAAAAGCACATGCACAAAAATATGTTGATAAAAGAAAATGTACACACATTGTGCACATAGAAACACATAAAAACAAATTGATGAAAAATAGACATTCGCTAATAAAAACACACGAACACACAACAACATATTGATAACAAAAAAATACACGCACTAATACATGGTAAAACGCAAGAATAAACACACATGTTGATAGAAGAAAAATACACAATGCACAATAAAACACACATAGACGCATTAATAAATGTAGACTTTGAGTGATCTATCTATGTCCAACCGACATTGACCTGGAGTGATCTACTGGAGCATATATCTTCATTTGGTTGAAATATATGAATGGAATTTTCAATTGATCATTGAAGAGTGTGGGAGAAATCTTATTAGGATGAAAGTGGGGGTGTTTGCATTGGTGTAGTGAGGATTAAGGATGAGTACTTACTTATGTTCCAACCCATTGGACACCCATATCTAACCCACTTTATTAATTTGAGTGGTATTACCCAACTTGATTACAACCGGCAATTAGGTACCTAACCCGCTAATTTGTAAACAGATTGGCTACTTGTAGCCTTGTGGTCTTGCCTCTAGCTCTACCTTAGGGTCAAGTATAACTAAGAAGGATTGTCATATCCTTAAATCCGTAAATAAATTGTCAAAAACATTAAAATAGGCACACACTATAAAAATACACATATAAACATAAAAAGAAACACACTAACACATAAAAATCACACACTAAAACACAAAGAACACACGCATACAACATAAAAAATACACATGGTAATAAACGCACGCTAACACATTACACAAATCAAAAACACATTGAGAAAATAAAGATGCGCAAACATTACAATAAAAACACACACCCACACACAATACACATAAAAACAAATACACAAAAACAAATTGAGGTAAGGAAAAAACACACACTCACAAACCCTAATAAACACACCCACACAAAAAAAAACACAACATAAAAAGGCACAAAAACATAGTGATAAAAAAAAAATATGCACACTATTACACAATTAAACACAATCACAAACATAACACACATTGATAAAAGAAGAAGATAGGATACACAATAACTATGCCTTGCCATGTAAAAGACACCTCCATAATTTCTAACAACGCGATAGGGCACAAAAGTATTGAAACAAGCCAAAGATTAATTTCATTTTTCAGTTCAATTAATGTTTCAATAGGATCCCTTTATAAACCAAATGTCAAGAACTATCATACCTTTTTTACAATGCCCTGTGCAGATCATTCCTCTAGTACTTGCACATAGAAGCTGCAGAAGCTTTTAAGCATCACCTAGCAAGATGGGTCGGCACTATTCTTCTCTACTTTACTTCCAATCCTTCCTTATTTAGGTCCAGAACCTTCTATTTTGTAACTGCAAAAATGGTATCCATGAAAACCCTGATTGATGTTGATTCAAACCTTGTTGAGAAATAACAAAGGCAAGATAAATAACAGTTCAAGAAACAAGGTCAAGAAATAAAAAGTTAGAAATGTACCTTTACGCCCTTTTTGACATGAAATAGAAGTTTGAGTATCTTGCTTATATCTGAAATTCACAAAAGTAATGAAAGTCTTGTAACAAAGATTTTGAGTAGACCACGCTAAGTAATAAGAAGGGGGTGAAATTCAAATTGTCTTACTTCGTTTCATCAATACCGAACTCATATTTACAGGGGATCTTCGCATATGACAATGTCTCTTCTGCATTTTCAGGAGAACAAGGTGCTTTTAGGGCCTCCATTTCTGAAGTTCTATCTTTTGGTTCCTTGGAGGGACTATATTGGCATCCATTGGCTTACCTGAGGACAAGTTATTGCAGCAATTGCTAGCATCATCCTTTAGCTCAAATTTTTCATCATCTGTTGACAAATCTTCTTTTCGTCTTGGTAAACACATTCTTTTCCATACCTCCTAACATAAAATGAATCCTGAGATATGCATTCCCCGTTGAAGTCTGGAGAAAATTTAGGAAAACTTATGAGATTGGTGGAACTCAAGCTTTTCACGGAAAAAGTTGTTGTTGGGTGAAAATTCAATAGGACCATCATGCTTGCAGCTCTCACATGTGGCATCAACGAGTAATTTGGGGAACGGATATCTATCAAAAGTATTTTCAGTCAAAAATATATAACCTGAAGATGTACTATTTTGAGCCCTGAAGTTTGGTAGAAAGTACTGAAACCTCAACTCATCACACTAGAGGCATATCCTTCTTCAAACAACCAACCGTCATCTGGACCAGACTTGTCCAGGGTAGTAGTGGGGAAGTAATATGTTGGTGTTAAACTTGATGGATTAGACAACCTTGTAGACTTCCTAGGCCCACCTGTATGCTCCCCTTGCTTCAGACTATCCTTGTTCCTACATTGTTTTTCTCTGATATTTATACTTTCCCATCACAAATATTTCCCGACTTTGCTAGGGGATTCTTGGTTGCCTCACCCCTCACTGAACTAATAAGAAGACGACATTTTGCAGAATGTTAAAAGATTACAAAATTTGAAAAAGAAAAAAAATGAATAATCATCCGATGCCATCGATATATAACCTGCACCGGATGAGCATGACTCTTTACTGTCAACAATTCACAAAAAATTACAAATCCAAAAATTTAGATGACAAGCAACAAAAGACAAACTAACTGTCCATGAACAACATTAGCAAGGAATGCAAATCTCAACAAGCGCATACTTTCTCTTGCGTCTTCTCTTACAAAGCACAACCACGTTGGTTGGTTAATAACATCTCCAACATCAAACGTTCTTCCAATTATAGGATACCTGAGGCATCATGTCTGACATCCTTAAGAATAAATTCCATGGTACTCACATTACCCTATGCAAAATTGACATTACCATAGCCCATTTGTAAATATGGTGGGTGATTGTAATATGGAGCTAGCAACTCTACTATACAACAAGAAAAGAGAGAAGAAATCAATCATCAAAAATAAGACCAACAAAATGAATCACCGCACTTCATCATAATAAAAATTACATCAAATTATGGAGATTTTTTTTGAAGATCAGAGCGAGCACTAGATTAAGTTGTCATGTTACTTACCCTCCATCTAGATGCTCCTTAAATGTCCAATCAAAAGCATGGAACAGTTCCAGGGAGGTGTACAATTGAGCCTAAAAAACAGAAATTCAGAAAGTGATAAAGACACATAAGGTCTAAATTAAGGAACAGTAATAAGAGATAAAAGCCACTCACCCTACATCAACAGCAATAGGCCTACCGAGGTGGTCCATCTCAGCTTCGAGTTCATAAATGCTTTGAGATTAAGTTATCATGTTACTTACCCTCTATCTAGATGCTCCTTAAATATCCAATCAAAAACATGAAAAAGTTCCAGACATAAGGTCTAAATTCAGGAACAGTAATAAGAGATGAAAGCCACTCACCCTACATCAACAGCAAATAGGCCTAACGAGGTGGTCCATCTCAACTTCGAGTTCATAAATGCTTTGACGTAATAGCTGGTATTCTCGTCTTAATTACATACACCGAGTGCAAATAGTAAAAGCGCACATCTAGTTTACCTTTTTTTGATCAATAAAAACATAATAATTTGAACAAATAAGGGCCCACAAAATTATACCTATGAGAGAAGTTTTTCAAGATACTTTGAACCCATTTCACTAGCTAAGTTCCATATTCAGGACTTGTAGTGAAGCATTTGCATTCTTTCCATGTTGCAGCAATCATATCAGTGTTTTTATTTATATCAGCTTGTGAACGGTTCACAATTCCCACCCAAGGATGTTGCCACCAATATGATCTTCCTTCAAGAACATTCGGTGGGGAAGAAGAATGTCAATCATCTAGACCACTAAATACGAAAATAAAAGGAAACAGAAAAAAAAAAAGAGGAAACTCTTCGTCAAGATGTATATTGTCTAATGTCGTATCAACTCAACTGTTGACATAAAAGGAGACAACAGAAAATTAAGGATAAAGGACGCATCCAAATGTCCTTTCACGTGGGCAAGCCACATATCTTGTCACAAGGAGAAAACTGGATAATATAAAGAAATTACGTAGAGATTCATAAATTGACTGCAAACAAAACAAACCCGATGGATCCACTTTCCTAGAAAGCTTGATAGCATCTGACGGTGCTATATCTTGATTGGCCGGGGAATTGTTAGTGTAATGCTGTTGGGCTATGGCAAACATAGTTTCATCCATTTCTACGATCCAAAAACTGTACAACAGAAGAAATTTCTATATAAAATTACAATGCATCAACAAGGATGGTACGTGTAGACAGCAAATGAAATAGAGGAAGTTAATGGTACAAAGGTGAGTATCATATTTGTGGAACAACACAAAACTTCTCCACCAGTTGTAATAAGCTGCAATAATTCCGCTACATTATGAAAATATAAAGATCAATAGTATATTGGAATGCTGGAAATCCCATAGACAAAAAAGGCATAATGAGGAATAAGGAAAAAATACATCAGATTATGGAGATTTGTCAAATCTTAAGAAGTACCATGTCATTCAACAAAAAGGAGCCCACTTGAAATGAAAGTGAAAATTTATCTTGTAAATTGGAAGTGAAAGGTTTTCAACTTTGTTGGAACACAACAATTCGCAACCTAAACTGACTTGGGAGATATGCAGAATTATGCAATTACTTCCACAGCATCTGAAAATCTAAAGATCAATAGTATATTAGAATGCTGGAAATCCCACAAAGACAAAAAAGGCATAAGAAGGAATAAGGGAAAAAGGCATCAGATTGTGGAGATTTATTAAATCTTAAGAAGTACCAAGTCATTCAACCAAAGGGAGCACCCTTGGAGTGAAAAATTTCCAACGTAGGTATTTTTCTGGGTAAGTTAATGTAGGTCTTACAGGTATCCATTTCAAATCTTATTAGCAATGGGTGAAGAAGCCCACAAGGCTCACATACAAGTTTGGGTCGTGCAATTATATGCATGTGGGATAAGATATAACATCCCCACAGGCGCAACCACCTGTTGCACACGGAGAGGCAGAAATAAAAACCACAAAACTCACTCAAAGATATAAGAAGGTGCACTTGCAGTATGAACAAAGGGAGAACCAAATACCAAATCAATGAAGTTGAGAACGAGTCTTTCCTAAAACCTCCCAAACTCTCCCAAGATAGTGTGTCAAAGGCATCCACTCAAAACCAGTAGGCAATGGGTGGAAAGGCTCACAAGGGTATACTAGTTAGAAAGATGCCATAATGTCAAAGTGAGATAAGCACTAACAATAAGTGTATTGTATTTACGAGAGATGAATTATAGTACCTTCCAAACATAAGATCGAACAATGGTTTCAATGTCTTGAACAATACTTTCCAGCTGGCCCTCCACAAAGAATAAACCACTTTTTATTAAATGCAGTTCAGCTACACTTACGAGATCCGAAAACATAATAAACTAAATATAGGGGATACCAAGAGTCACTTTCGTCAAATCAGGAAAATCTATCAAGAGAAAAAATGAAAAATAGAGTTAGTGGAAGAGAGAAAATAAAAAGTTGGCTAGCAGGAATATGATATCATTATACTGATATAGAGCATGAAATTATAGCCTACTTTATGTCATTGAAACCAAAAACCAACATACTAACCATAATTATTCAATGTTTCAGACTTCGATTCTCATAACTGCTCCTCATGCACAAGATAGATCTTATTTGACAAATTTTTTTCTAATTTTTTTAATTGAAATTTGAAATTATGCCTCACAGTACAACATGTAGTATACTCACAACTTAACAAAGCCCATAGCCAAAATGGAAAAACCATCAACCATTCCATGTCATATTCATATACAAAAACTAGGATGGAAGCACCACATCCAATGTATGACTCATTAGCTGCAACATTTGCCTCGAGAATCAAGTAAAACATGTAGTATACTCACAACTTAACAAAGCCCATAGCCAAAATGTAAAAACCATCAACCATTCCATGTCATATTCATATACAAAAACTAGGATGGAAGCACCACATCCAATGTATAACTCATTAGCTGCAACATTTGCCAAGAGAATCAAGTAAATTTTCTTCCACACAGAAACCAAATAAATCAAGCAATAAGCCCATGTCAAAAATCTTTAAGACATGTCACTATGACAAGTGGGAGGAACAACCAAGGAACTTCAAGATTTATATTCCATGGAAAAGCAAGTCAATAACAGTGACTTCAAAGAAAAACTTAAAATCACATTTGTCATGACAGTTCTTCCGAAATTATATTAAAAGAATAACACACTATTGGGGGAATAGTTTCTGAGATGGATAGGAACGGGACAAATCTGCTTTATCTTTCCTGTTATTTTATCAGTTTCATCCATGATTTCTTTGGCGAACCAAGAACTGCAAAAAAATCAAACAGCTTTGTCGACGGGAGAGTCCATATTACGAATTCTTACCGACAAAGAGAGTCCATATTATTAACACATACACATAGATAGAGACATGGAAAAAGTCCTAGAAGAATCTACCAAATAAACTAAATGAAATACTTCGCACAAGGACAAACCAAAGGAGGTGGAGCACAAAAAAGTTGCAGCAACCATCTACACATATGGCAATAGAACTTCGTTTCTTCTTTTCTAAGTACAACAATTTAGAGTTGTAACTTTCAAGTCTAGGTATGTGTTATTCTCCTTTCATTTCGGACCTGTTGGTGATCTTATCAAACTAATAAGTTCAGAGAAAGAACTAACAATGACTGATTACTGCCCAATACCCTGATGTTGTAGCCAACTACCGAAAAAAATAATCAGGTTGGTCTCAATATTCAATTTCAATCTAATGATATTGCACTCTCCTCATTGCAAGAAGAAATAGGGGAACAAAAGTTGTATTTGGTTGAGCAACAGAGGCAAATTCAGTGAACTGAAATTCAATCATCACACAATCACTGTCTAATCCAAAAATAGCCAAGCACATAAATTAGCTAAAGAAATTCTCAGTAGGAAATACATACAAAAATCAGTGGATCTCCTGCGCCGTATATGAGCAAACTTGGCATACTCCTGCTGCCCATCCACCGTCTTCTGCAGTTGCAACACCACAGGTCGCCTCATGACAATCCGGGCAAGCCAGCTTGTTCAAAGACCTTAAAAGAGCAGATTGTAGAACTCATAAACTACAGAAACATAACGCAAAGAAGTAAAAAAATTCATCTAAAGCTTGAAGATGCCACAAAAACAGGGGAAAAAGGAAGAAAAATATTTCAAACAATAAGAGAAGAGATAACGAGTAAATCTGGTCCAGATTAACCTACTAAAATTTATCTTCTAAAACTTGATATAATAGCAGAAATACTCAGATCCAATCAACAATCACAAATAAGATTCAGATAGAAACTGGGCCTTGGCTAGCCTGAGAAAACACCCAAACTGAGCAAGTAATCGGGGAACTCTGGGTAAGTGAAACACAAGGAAGTAAAATGCAGAAGTTAGTAATCGACATCTTCTGCAACAGAAAAAAAAAACAAAGAGAGATAAATAAATATATTAATATCACCTGAATGAGAGGAAAAGAAGAGAGAAAATATTGACAAAAATGGATTTACAGTCATCTGAGTGTGTGTGAGTAATAGCGAAGTGAATGTTAGACATTTTCACACTTTTGTGGAGAATTGGGTATGGTTTTCATTCGAATGAAATAAAAAAATGCGAACACAAATAAATATTCACATGGTATCTTAGGCAAATAAACAACAAATGAATATGAAAATTTAACTGAAATCCACCTTTGCCTGAAATGCACCGACCTACATATTTGAATATTTTGTTTTTCTTAAGAGCTATGTCATTTAATCAGTATTTTAGGGTTATACTAATCTATCCAATGTCTTTAATGATATTTTTGGTATATATAAAATTGTTACTACTAATATCATCAGACATTATTGTGCACGTTAAAAAGGGGAAATTTGTTGCTAACTTTTAAATAGTAAGGGAAGTTATATAATTAACGAATATGTGGAGAGATTTATTATTGTAAGCTATTAAAAAAGACGTAGTGTTATGAATGATACTAATAATAACGGGACACTATATTTGTTATTAAGTATTTTGATAGGGACATTTTAGGTGATCAAAAGTTTTTCATGCATCCATACTTTTATCAATAGTATAGATATATATTTAGATATAAATGAAGGAAGCATTGGTAGTATTGTTTCACTGAATAAATTTTATTCTACCAAAATTAACTGTGACTAGCTGCATATAGGGAATATGGAAGTGAATAACAAGCAAGAGTCAGGGCACATACAATTGGATTTGAGGATATGTCACTATTCAATGCTGGAGCACGAGCAGACGAGCAAAAGAGTTCCAGAATATGTGTGTACCACACATATAGTTGTCATCCGCTTGTTCACGTAAGTGTAAATACCTAAGTGCACCCCAATCACTAATTTTACCTGAGGATATAGAATATCAGTCCGAGCTTTACATTCAGAAAGAATCGTGTTACTATGAAAAATATACATCAGTATAATTCTGAGATGCATTTGTAAACCCGTAAAGTTAGCTAACTTATAGTCAAATTTCAAAATTGTCGCAATGTATGACTACCCCCACAAAAAGAAATGCCAGTAATATTCTAACATTCATGAAACTCCAACCCCACAGCAAAACCAAAGAAAATATGTATGCAAGCCCATAAAAGTTCCAAAGATATGTTTGAAGGAAGTGTCAAAAGTTGTACTGTCAAACTAATCATGACACCCACACCAGTGTAATCATGGTATAATCATCTTTAGCAAAAATGGCCATATAAACAGCTGCAAATACCACAAACATGATTTCGGTCATGATAGAGTATTCCCACCAGAAAGAACTATCCAAGCAAAATAAAAAATATATGATAAAATAGGATCAACATTCTAGTATACCCATTTCAAGAATGGTTATAATTATCAAAGAATATCTTTTTCACAGACTGCCCTTAACTCTGTCGAACTGACTGCACACTGAGAATTAAGCTAACTACACTACATCACAAATGATCACATATATACAATGATTAAGACACTCAGCAAACAAATCAGGCACATGATAACAAACCACAATTATTAAACGAATTAGATCCTCTTAATTTCAAATTTTGTTAATTTTGGTCAAGAATGATCATCCATTTTAAAATTAATTGGATCCCACTGACAAAACCATAGGAATCCACAAGTGGTAAATATATGTACGTATGTAGGCTGACGTTTGATAAAAAAAAAGGGGAAAAAATAAAGCACTGAAAATAATATTACAACCTAAACAACATCATAGAATTCAACAAAGAAGTACCATAAGCTCACCAAAACAAAACTAATTGTCAATCCGGCTTGTGGCAACGTTCCATTCAGGGTCTACAATCAACCGACGTGATCCCATTTAACTTGGCATGTGTATGTATGCACCACTATACATGTGATTACGGTTCAAAAGGAGGAATAAACAGAGGGAAAGGAAAAACAAAGATTTGCTACTTCAATTATGCTACAACATATGCGATTAAGCTTGAAAGAATACCATGGAAATGATTAAAAGCTAATTACAGAGACAAAAATCAAGAGATCAATTATGCATGTCATTCCTCTTCTTCTTCCATTTTCCCAAAATAGAGTTCTATAACTTTTAAACAAAATCGGGATGTGCTTACATTCATCTACGTTAATTTTTTTTTCTTGCAGACCATTACATCTTTACAAAGGACAGGTTACTGCCCTCCTCTTGATCTAGCAACTATTTTGGATTAATAAACTCCTCTCGAGCAAGAGATTCAAAAGGTATATAAATAGACACAGAGAGAGTAGCTTCTGGCGATAAAATTGGGGTAATTTAAGAATGACATAATTTGGGATAAGATTGTAGTAAACAATTGAATGAAAGAAAAATTCAACTAACCATTTCTTAGTAATAAACAAACAGCTCAAATGAATAAAGCACACAACACAGGTTTTATACAGCCCCTACGAATGTCAATAAAGGGGATGCCCCCAAAAAAAGTTGTATAATAAACTGAAGCATGCATGACAGTCTGTCGGGTGCACTCCAACAAAACTTGCCACTCGATATAGTACTGAAGCATAACCTTCATGACACAAAGAAATGAATAAAAGAGGCAAAACAAAAGTCAAACAGGTTGTTCTCAACAATGAGAACCACCACATACAATCAATGTCCCTCAAAAGTTCATCTATTTATATATTCCAAAAAAACTCTGTGTCAACCCCTTAGGATTGACAAAAATAATTATAGAAGACAGGTATAAGGATGCACAGCATACAATAGTAAAAAAATACACCCTTTGTCCTAAAAAATTGGCCTCCTCTACTCTTTTAGGTGTGCCAGGGTGTCCATTAAAAGACAATTTAGATAAGGTTCACACATCTTCCCTTCATAGCCTATGAAGCAGATTAAGTAACCACATTAATCAGTAAAAAAACCATGGGAAGGAGCGTTAATACAAAAGAGCTATTCATCAAAGGAAAATGTGTGCAGGTGTTGATTGTATATCTTAAAATATGAGCATTTATGACAATGGACATTTTGGGACATTAGAACTATATCCTAGCCAATAATTCAGACAAGAACAAGCAAAATTATTATAATAATAGTAACAAATAATGACATAGATGAAAAAATTACATTGAATAGACAATAATTTTCCATACCTGAAAATAATTCATGTCACCAGTTGGGCATGGACAAAATAAAAGAGTTTAGCAAACAAACATAACAAAAGTATGAAAGTACAAAGGAATAAATATACCAACCATACGAAGAAGTTCGTGAACAATATTATCGTCGAGCAGAGTGTTTTGCTCAATTGATCTCTTGACAAGAACATATAACTGCACCTTATCTAAACACTGAACCAAACGAAATGTATACCATTCTATAAAACAAATAGAAATAAGACGATAAAGTGAATTTAAAAATTCCAGTATTACAGTACATATGATAATACCCCCCCCCCCAATGCACATTGCACTTGGCAACAAGGCAAAATTTGTGGGTTGGCCTCTCAAAGACTCAAGAATTATTATGATGGTTTTTCTTTTAGGATATAAAGGTGAATTAATACTGCATTTTTAAATACACAATGCTTGCGCTCTCAGAGCCAATTGCCATTGGCAATGCCACATATGGTTTTTTCTTCTTCTATCACACAAAGAGAGGATAAAAGAAGAGAAAAACTATATGCAGCACTCTAGTATTCATAATAATGAAAAGTGAGTACAAGGGACAATACAAAAGGAACCTCCAATAACATAAAGACTAGACTACCCTTAATGATAAATAAATATAATTACACTCTTAACATCCCACATCCACATAAAAAATTGCATACTCCTAGGAGTGAAAGCATGAAGCAGACAAGATCCCACTGAACTTTGCATCATAGCCTAGAACTTACCATGCGTTTGCATCATAGCCTTGAACTTACCATGCGTTTGCATCATAGCCTTGAACTTACCAATCCAAAAATAGCCAAGCACATAAATTAGCTAAAGAAATTCTCAGTAGGAAATACATACAAAAATCAGTGGATCTCCTGCGCCGTATATGAGCAAACTTGGCATACTCCTGCTGCCCATCCACCGTCTTCTGCAGTTGCAACACCACAGGTCGCCTCATGACAATCCGGGCAAGCCAGCTTGTTCAAAGACCTTAAAAGGGCAAATTGTAGAACTCATAAACTACAGAAACATAACGCAAAGAAGAAAAAAAAAAATCATCTGAAGCTTGAAGATGCCACAAAAACAGGGGGAAAAGGAAGAAAAATATTTCAAACAATAAGAGATGAGATAACGATTAAATCTGGTCCAGATTAACCTACTAAAATTTATCTTCTAAAACCTGATATAATACCAGAAATAGTCAGATCCAATCAACAATCACAAATAAGATTGAGATAGAAACAAGGAATTCCTAATATGCTACATGACCAGATGTATGTTAATGTTACCATAATAAACCCTTCATTAATGGCACGATAAACTTGGCCTTGGCTAGCCTGAGAAAACACCAAACTGAGCAAGTAATTGGGGAACTCTGAGTAAGTGAAACACAAGGAAGTAAAATGCAAAAGTTACTAATCAACAACTTCTGCAACAGAAAAAAAAAACAGTGAGAGATAAATAAATATAATAATATCACCTGAATGAGAGGAAAAGAAGAGAGAAAACATTGACAAAAATGGATTTACAGTCATCTGAGTGTGTGCAAGTAATAGCGAAGTGAATGTTAGACATTTGCACACTTTTGTGGTGAATTGGGTATGGTTTTCATTTGAATGAAATAAAAAAATGCGAACACAAATAAATATTCACATGGTATCTTAGGCAAATAAACAACAAATGAATATGAAAATTTAACTGAAATCCATATTTGCCCGAAATGCACCGGCTTACATATTTGAACATTTTGTTTTTCTTAAGAGCTATGTCATTTAGTCAGTATTTTAGGGTTATACTAATCTATCCAATGTCTTTAATGATATTTTTGGTATTTATAAAATTGTTATTACTAATATCATCAGACATTATTGTGCATGTTAAAAAGAGGAAATTTGTTGTTAACTTTTAAATATTAGGGGAAGTTATATAATTAACGAATATGTGGAGAGATTTATTATTATAAGCTTTTAAAAAACACGTAGTGTTATGAATGATACTAATAATAACAGGACACTATATTTGTTATTAAGTATTTTGATAGGGATATTTTAGGTGATCAAAGAGTTTTCAGGCATCCATACTTTTAAAAATACTATAGATATATATTTAGATATAAATGAAGGAAGCATTGGTAGTATTGTTTCCGTGAATAAATTTTATTCTACCAAAATTAACTGTGACTAGCTGCATATAGGGAATATGGAAGTGAATAACAAGCAAGAGTCAGGGCACATACAATTGGATTTGAGGATATGTCGCTATTCTATGCCGATGCACGAGCAGAGGGGTAAAAGAGTTCCAGAATATGTGTGTACCACACTGATAGTTGTCATTCGCTTGTTCACATAAGTGTAAATACCTAAGTGCACCCCAATCACTAATTTTACCTGCGGATATAGAATATCAGTCCGAGCTTTACATTCAGAAAGAATCATGTTACTATGAAAAATCTACATCAGTATAATTCTGAGATGCATTTGTAAACCTGTAAAGTTAGCTAACTCATCGTCAAATTTCAAAATTGTCGCAATGTATGACTACCTCCACAAAAAGAAATGTCAGTAATATTCTAACATTCATGAAACTCCAACCCCACAGCAAAACCGAAGAAAATATTTATGCAGGCCCACAAAAGTTCCAAAGATATGTTTGAAGGAAATGTCGAAAGTTGTACTGTCAAACTAATCGTGGCACCCACACCAGTGTAATCATGGTATGATCATCTTTAGCAAAAATGGCCATGCAAAAAGCTGCAAATACCACAAACATGATTTCGGTCATGATAGGGTATTCCCATCGGAAAGAACCATCCAAACAAAATAAAAAATATATGATAAAATAGGATCAACATTCTAGTATACCCATTTCAGGAATGGTTATAATTATCAAAGAATACCTTTTTCACAGACTGCCCTTAACTCTGTCGAACTGACTGCACACTGAGAATTAAGCTAACTACACTACATCACAAATGATCACATATATACAATGATTAAGACACTCAGCAGGCAAATCAGGCACATAATAACAAACCACAATTATTAAACGAATTAGATCCTCTTAATTTCAAATTTTGTTAATTTTGGTCAAGAATGATCATCCATTTTAAAATTAATTGGATCCCACTGACAAAACCATAGGAATCCACAAGTGGTAAATATATGTACGTATGTAGGCTGACGTTTGAAAAAAAAAAAGGGGAAAAAATAAAGCACTGAAAATAATATTACAACCTAAACAACATCATAGAATTCAACAAAGAAGTACTATAAGCTCACCAAAACAAAACTAATTGTCAATGCGGCTTGCGGCAAAGTTCCATTTCGGGTCTACAATCAACCGACGTGATCCCATTTAACTTGGCATGCCTATGTATGCACCACTATACAAGTGATTACGCTTCAAAAGGAGGAATAAACAGAGGGAATGGAAAAAACTTTTAAACAAAATAGGGATGTGCCTACATTCATCTACATTAATTTTTTTTTCTTGCAGACCATTGCGTCTTTACAAAGGTTATTGCCCTCCTCTTGATCTAGCAACTATTTTGGATTAATTAACTCCTCTCCAGCATGAGATTCAAAAGGTATAAACAAAGAGAGAGAGAGAGAGTAGCCAGTGGCAATAAAATTGGGGTAATTTAAGAATGACGTAATTAGGGATAAGATTGCAGTAAATAATTGAATGAAAGAAAGATTCAACTAACCATTTCTTAGTAATAAACAAACAGCTCAAATGAATAAAGCACACAGCACAGGTTTTATATAGCCCCTACGAATGTCAATAAAGGGGATGACCCCAAAAAGAGTTGTATAATAAACTGAAGCATGCATGACAGTCTGTCGGGTGCAGTCCAACAAAACTTGTCACTCAATATAGTACTGAAGCATAACCTTCATGACACAAAGAAATGAATAAAAGAGGCAAAACAAAAGTCAAACAGGTTGCTTTCAACAATGAGAACCACCATATACAATCAATGTCCCTCGAAAGTTCATCTATTTATATATTCAAAACAAGCTTTGTACCAACCCCTTACGATTGACAAAAAAAATTATAGAATACACGTATAAGGATGCACAGCATACAATAGTAATAAAATACACCCTCTGTCCTAAAAATTGGCCTCCTCTGCTCTTTTAGGTGTGTCAAGGTGTCCGTTAAAAGACAATTTAGATAAGGTTCGCACATCTTCCCTTCATAGCCTATGAAGTAGATTAAGTAACAGCATTAATCAGTACAAAAATCATGTGAAGGAGCGTTAATAAAAAAGAGCTATTCATCAAAGGAAACTGTGTGCAGGTGTTGATTGTACATCTTAAAATATGAGCATTTATGACAATGGACATTTTGGGACATTAGAACTATATCCTAGCCAATAATTCAGACAAGAACAAGCAAAATTATTACAATAATAGTAACAAATAATGAGATAGATGAAAAAATTACATTGAATAGACAATAATTCTCCATACCTAAAAATAATTCATGTCACCAGTTGGGCATGGACAAAATAAAAGAGTTCAGCAAACAAACATAACAAAAGGACAAAAGGACAAAGGAATAAATATACTAACCAAACGAAGAAGTTCGTGAACAATATTGTCGTCGGGTAAAGTGTTTTGCTCAATCAATCTCTTGACAAGAACTTATAACTGCACCTTATCTAAACACTGAACCAAACGAAATGTATACCGTTCTATAAAACAAATAGAAATAAGACGATAAAGTGAATTTAAAAATTCCAGTATTACAGTACATATGATAATACCCCCTCCAATGCACATTGCACTAGGCAACAAGGCAAAATTTGTGGGTTGGCCTCTCAAAGACTCAAGTATGATTATGATGGTTTTTCTTTTGGGATATAAAGGAGAATTAATACTGCATTTTTAAATACACAATGCTTGCGCTCTCAAAGCCAATTGCCATTGGCAATGCCGCATATGGTTTTTTTCTTCTTCTATCACACAAAGAAAGGATAAAAGAAGATAAAAACTACATGCAGCACTCTAGTATTCATAATAATGAAAAGTGAGTACAAGGGACAATATAAAAGGAACCTACAATAACGAAAAGACTAGACTACCCTTAATGATAAATAAATATAATTACACTCTTAACATCCCACATCCACATAATAAATTGCATACTCCTAGGAGTGAAAGCATGAAGCAGACAAGATCCCACTGAACTTTGCATCATAGCCTAGAACTTACCATGCGTTTGCATCATAGCCTTGAACTTACCATTCGTTCGGATAGCTAAAGGATAGAAGGTCCTGGAATATAGACAGTAATCTACTTTGCAGTCCATAAAAAATCAGCTTATGCACATCATTCGTCATGGCATGACCTTTAAATCCCACACCAACATGTATTTACCAATATTAGCAAGAAGCAAACAACCTAATAGTGAATACATGAAGGAGGGATTAAGATAAAAAGTGAAGGCATAATAGTGAATACAACCTTAAGATAACTCTTCACTTAGGTAATTGACATAGGAAAGCAATGAAAACGAATCCATGTATCACAATAATAACCAAAAGAACAGGAAGAAAAACTTTAATATTGAAAAAGATTGTCTACCCCTTAAGAGACTTCCAACTCTCATTCGTCTACATCAACCCTGGGAGATGGATATATGGTATCAGTGCGACTGTGAAGCGATAAACACGGTTAACTACGATCAGAAAAACAAAATCACATATAATAAAGCGGCTACAAATTGGACGATTGTATTGATGATGTGAAAAAAACGTACAGCTATCCAATTTATTATTACCGAGTACATTTGAAAGTTCATTACGAACCCCCAGACTTCTCTCCATGAGCAGCAGCAGCACAGCTTCTGCGACAGAGCATTCAAGAAAACCCTTTAAAGCCCCAAATCTCCACTGACATTGTTAATCGCCGACATCACAATCTCTCCCATATACTCCCCAACGTCCATGGCAAAATCGGAGGACCACTAGCTTTATTCACATAACTCAAGAAATCCTTAAAGAACGAAGCGATTCCAATCGACTGTGGCCAAAAAGATTGAGCGAAAGAATACGGAATCGACCTAAAAAACCCTAGGACTGCCGGTTTGGGCCTCATGCCATCGAAACTGGAGCATTTAGAAAGAAATCTAGCCGTGGGGAATACTGCATTAAGTTGTGACCTCGAAACCCTCAATGATCCGGCCGGAACAGAGTCAATTGGTGGACATCGGCCACAAATCCAAGCCAATTTATCAGCAAACTGCGAAGGATTTTGTGCGATCAGATCGCAGAGTTCGATCAACGACTCCGTTACTTTACAATGCTGAATATTTTCGGAGAGAGGAGAGAGAAATCAAACAAACTGAGGCGAAGAATTGATCTGGTGGTGGAATTTAGTGTTTACGAAGAGACGATCGTCGTTTCCATCGAATCGTTAAAGATACAGAGAGAGAGCCGTTAAGATTAAAGGAGAAGAGAGGCTTTGGCTTACATTTATAGTTCGTGAACAACCGATTAGGAAACCAAGAGAGGAGAAGACAGGTTTGGGTGTGAGCTAACGGCTAACTCGGATTAGGAAACCAATTGAACAGCCTTGCCTTGTACACGTTTTTTAACTTTGTCCCCGCAATTATCATGGTTTTTAATGGAAAGTAATTAAATAAATGACATCAGCAACTTTCCTCTAAAAATAATTGACGTATGCGATTAGGCAATATAAAATAATTAAATTAGTTAAAGGGCAATGTGAAAAATTCAATAATTGAGAAGATAATGTAGAAATAATAATAATTGAGGAAATAAAGTAAAAAACATAATTTAAGGGGTCAAAGTGGAACAAAATAAGACTAACAATGCACACGTGCGTTACATGTGAAAAAAAATTAATTTATTAATTTGTTATTAAATTTATTTAAAATATAAAGTTGATGAATAATAAAATTAAATTATTTTTTGTAAAGGTAAATGATTAATTAAAATACCAAAAAAAAAGACACTTAATCTTTTAATCTCAAAATTTAATAAATTTCAGCCAATAAATGATAAAAATACTCAAAAACATGATACATAAGTACATTAACCTTTTTTTTTTGTGGTATCTAACTTTAACTATTTTTTTAAATCTTTTTTCTTATAGTTAAAATAACAGATTTTTGGAGCATACAATTTTTATTTGTAATGCTATAATAGAATATGAGCAATGAAAAATTAAGTTTAATAAATTTGATTATAGAGTATTAAGGTTTGAATCGATTCCAATTGCTCTTTTACAAAATTTAATAAATAGATTTGAAGTTGTTTGACTGTAAATTAATAAACGTCCTCAAAATAATCATTCTTTATATTTTATCTAAAAATTGATAAACTCTACCAAAAATAAAGTGAACCCAAAAAATAATCAATAAAATCAAAAATTACATCAACTTCTTAGTCTTCTCTGTTCACCCAAGTTACACTCGTAATTTGAATAAGCTATAGTTTTGATTTTTGTTTGCTTGCTCTCTTAATAGTCCCTTCTCTCTTCCAAAAAATCTATGTATTTAGTTTTAAAACATAGGGGGTCTATGTTTTCTTGAAACAACCAACTCTCTTTACATGCATTTTGATGGATTCTCAAAATAGAGTTGGATTGCAAGTGCCATTATTAATTGGTTGAAAATTTATACTTCTTCGTATGTTTCTTTGGGTTTAGATTGTAGAGGTCCAGGCAAGAAGCTTTTATCTTATATGTGAACCCTTGATGCATTAGGGTTTTGAATGGATAAGTTTCAGAATGCTGCTGGTTATAAAAAAATTTATTCTTGTTTATTCATTGATCATGAACAAACTTTTATTAAATGAATTTGTTTATGTGAACTCTATAAATTGCAATTTTCTAATTCGTAAGTGCTTTTAAAGTGTCAGTATGTTTTCTCTATAGTAATTTTTTTTTTGGCTTTTGTTAATTAATTTTTGATGTGATGCTTGTCATGTTATGTTAGGTATTTTTATAATAACCACATTTGTGATCTTTGAAGCCATGTCTATGATTTTTTGTGTAGAATTTTCTCGTTCATGTTTCTATTTACTATTCTCCTAGACTTGTTAATGTAATCTTCAGAAAATTTATGTGCGAATAATTGAAGAGGGAAAAAAAAAAAAGAAATCATGTCTTAAGTAGTTTCTGCATAGTTTCTATGTGGCACCTTATTTATTAACGGGTTATGCTTTTGACTTTCAAACTATTTTTTCCTCCATTTCACGTTTTATTTGGATTTAATTTATTTATTATTTGATTGATTGTTGGTCTCAATAAATATTGAAATTTACCATCAATTCAAAAATTAAAAATAATTAGGTCAATATTATATGAGATTTGAACAAACTTTCAAAGTATTAATTATATGAGCAATGGAAAATTGGATTAACGAGACTTTGTAATAAAACAAAAAAACACTAACATAGAAAATTTGAATGTAAACATAGAAATTAATAAACTAAAACATAAAAATTAATAAACTAACCTCGATTATACCGAATACTCGACCTGTCATACCAATTTAATAAACTAAAATATAAGAATTAATAAACTAACATCAATTATTATGTCGAATAATTGACCCGTCACACCAATCTCTTAAAAAGCTACTTGATATTAAATTAAGAAAAATTAAATGTCACAGAACATATGAATTAATAAACTAAAACAGAAGAATTGATAAACTATGCTCAATTATACCGATAACTCCAACTTTGACTTCATTGAATTTGTCACAAAGGAGCATGAGACCCTAGGACTTCAAATAAATGACTATGGCAAGCCAACTTTTAACTCTAAATAAATGATTATGGCAAGCCAACTTCTAACTCTAACCTGAATGGAAGAAAAAACTTGTTCGATAATTTGCTAGAAAGTTTGATCTCATGTGGTATTAGAATCCTATCTAGTTATATATGTGTGTGTGTGTGAAGGAATTCAAAATATTTTAGAAGTCTAATAAGTAGGAAAGATAAAAAAATATATGTATATGTATCACCTAAAAATTATCAATATATGATATTATAATTATAATAGAGTTTGTACAATTGAATAAAAAAAAAAGAATGTATTATCATTGACATAAAGTTTATCTAACTAATATTCTGATAAAGTTTATCTAGGTAATATTTTGATAAAGTTATTTACCAAGTCATAGAGATAAAATTTAACTAATATTTTGGAAGTCAAGTAGGTATAAAAGATAGAAAAATATGTGGCATAATTGACTTTATGGTAATAATTAATGGTGAATATATGAAATCAAAAGTTTTTCATACATACGGATATTTACAAGTAGTATAGATATAGATTAGTTTATGTGCTCATTGATTAATCATCAAAATTGTTATTTTATATATTTAATGATTGGTTAATTGAATATTATTTGTGATTAAATGTGTTAAATTTTTTGATTTTTTAGTTTAATATTTTTTCTAGTTGTTTGATTTATTTTGCTGGTAAATTGGTTGATTTAAAGTAATAATAAATAATGCAAGTGAAACAATCACTAGCGGAATGATGATAATTAGTAACGATTGAAAAATCAAGATTGAGATTGGAAGACTTAAAGATATGATAGCAATTTAATCCTTATAAGAGTCAAAGTTGAAAGAAAACTCATTTAGAGTTGGATTATGAAAGTGTCAAAGAAGAAAAAGATTTGACACATCTTTAGTATTTTGGTCATAACTTTTGACTCTGATATACAATTTACTTGATTTTTGGAGGTTAAAAATAAGACTTCAAGAGCTACAAAAGTGTATTTCACAAATTTTTTGTGATTCAATCTCTAAATATGCGAAATTTAAGCTCGAATCTAGACATATTTTGTACCCGTATCCCAAAATTTTTATTGACGGGATTTAATCTTACAAAACTTATTTTTTGGAAAAAAATTCCTTTCAACCTGTACTTAGGATTTTTTTTGAGTATAAATAGGGGTTCTCATTTAGAGATTATTATTATTCTTTTTCTCATTTTTTTATTTATTTTTAGTTTGTCATGTCTGGCTAGAAGGCTAAGTTAGGGTTAGGGAAAAACCTCTTAATGAAGTACAGTACTGTTATTGACTCTGTGCTTAATGATTTATGATGTTTTGTTAATTTAACTTCTAATTTCTTAGCAAAGTTTTTATTCTATAAAAATCTTTGAGTCATTGTGTCATGCACATAGATTACTTGAATTTCCCTGCGAATAAATAACTGGTTATTTCACACTTGATGTATTTATCATTATTTCATAAAATAATATAATTAAATGATTATTCAGATTTCTGAATAATCTTTTGATTATAACTTTTAATTTTTTTACTTGATTTGTTACTCGAATCAACTGACATCTGATTATTGTCTTAAGTTAAGATTTGAGTCTTTAATCTATAAAAGGTATCAAACTATAAAATCAAATAATTTAACACATTTAATCACAAATAATATGTAATTAACTAATCATTAAATATAATAAAATAGCAATTTTGATGGTTAATCACACGTCGCACATGAATAAATTCAAGTTTTTACTTGATTTTGATCTTTTAATTTTTCAATGTTATTACCTTTGGCATGTTAGCTGATGCAGTGTTTGTAAATGGCAAAAAAATCAACCAAAATAGGAAAAAAAAATAATAATAATAATATACAACTTCATTAATATTCTACCTCCTGAGTTTGTAACTCTATGAGTTTTTAAACAATGTTTATTATTTTTTTCTCCAAACTAAATTTCACTCTGCACCATTCAATTTGTAACATAGATGAGTCTTTTTGCTCCTAAATCAATGTAGTAACTAATCTACATATAACTTATGAAGTAGGTTTCTCTCAATCAT